ATACATATTATTGTGTACATGGAAAGTACATTACAATATACTGAAATGTCGTTAGGATTTATAGAATCGGAAGATTAAATCGATTAAATCGAAGGTATTTCAGTCCAATGATTTTTTTCTGTAAAATTTTGCTACAATTCGTGAATACGTAATCATTTACGATAATAATTAATTTGTAAAAAGCTAATTTACAATATAAAATATAGGCGAATTAGATCACAATACAAATCGGATTAATGTAAATTTTGAAATGAAACAATTGATATTTATCATTAATCCAATTCATCCTGTGATACGATTCGCCTTGGTCTATCCTTACCATATACTAGTGTTATATCTCTTTATAAGACACATTCCTATTTATTTTTTAAAATTTGATAAAGATTATATATGTATTAAAATAAAATAAAAAAAGTATATACCTAACATTAATGTGATGCATAATACGGTTTAGCAGTTGCATGTAAAAAATTACAAGTGTTTAATAATTCAAAAACAATTTTAAAAATAAATATATATCGTTTATAAAATAATATGAATGTATGTTATAAAAAAATATATGTCATGAAAGTTTTTTCAAAGAATGTACCCTAAAAAAGTTACTGCTGCCATCTATCCTCTGAAAAGAATAAATATTATATAATTTGTATATCATCTAACATTGCTAACATTGTTAATTGACATTGCTTGCAATCGATGCAGATTGTCGGTAATTTATCCACGGCAGGTATATCGTACATGTTATAAACACTCTTTACGCATTCACATATGATTTATTCTAGCTCTATTGTTGTGCATCAATTGGTAAGTGATAAAAATTTCTGTTAAAATCAATTAGAGTAACATATCTGTGAAGATTGTATTAAATTTATATATTTACGTACATAATTAAATTAGATAATTAATAATTACATGATTAGAAGTAAATATTAAAATTCATGGATATAATATCATATTTAATTTTGGACCGGTCTTTTGTTAATTGTTAAGTTAGTGTATTGTAATGTTTGAACTATATTCGTACAAGTACACACACATACACACAAAACTAGAATACAAAATAGAATCTAATGATTAATCAATTATAAAAATAACATTAATATAATTAAAATATAACTTGGAAAGAAGAGTAAAAAAAAAACGTTTTTAAAATCGTTTTGAATAACATTTTACAGACATCTTTTATACTTTTTGGAAAATCGTCTGAAAATTCTTTCAAGTTATGCAGCTATTTACATTATCGACTGTAACATACATATTTATTAACTCTCTGAGATCAATATATTTCCAAAATGCCAATATGTATAAGACGGCCTGGAGACGTCATCAAAATATCTTTCAGCCATCATATGATAAAGATGTTATCAAGATATTTATAAGACTTCTTATGTTCTCTTTCTAGACTTATCTGGGCAGTATAGTGTGACACATACACATATCACTTTTCGATAAATATGTTACAGTCGATAATGTAAATAGCTGCATATGTTCCAAAAAAAAAAGAATAATTTCCTAAAGCTGTTATATACAGTCAGTTCTTATTTGTGTTTAACTGTTTACATATGACATCTTAAGACTGTACTTAAGATAAAACTAACATGAGAGAGAGAGAGAGAGAGAGAGAGAGATCACTTTATTTCCATTTTTTAAATATTTTTATTATATGTGAAAGAGAAGAAAACGTGCACATACATATATGTGTACCCAATATGATTGAGAGAAATACTACTTTCTTAAAATATTTACTATATCTATGAAAATATTTCATATTTTGTTAATATTAAAAATAATGTTTTTAATCTGACCATCAATTTATAGTTTTAAACTTAGCATAAAATTAGAAAAAATTGCAAAGCTTATCGGCTACGTAGATTATTTTATCTAATAATTAGTCCGATTTATCTTATCTAATACTTAATATTAATATTTAATTGTGTGAATCAATAGATATATACATATGTTTTAAATACAATAATATACATAAGACCTATATATTCTTCATTTAGTATTAGAATATAAATTAGTATTAGTCTATATTTAAATAAAAACGTGTGTAAATTTATTAGAAATTCAGGAAATTTCCGTTAAGTTCCCTGCATGCGTCATACGTAGACTGACGTACACGTGTACGTATGCTAAGAACACATTACACGTAATTTCCAAAAGCTTCACATTACACGTAATTTCCAGAAAACTCCACATTACACGTAATTTCCAGAATAAAAAAAGGAAATTTCCTTGCATATGTTTTCTTTATCTATAAAATTGGAAATGCTCTTAATAAATATTTAACATAAAGATTATATTACAATATGAGAGAGAGAGAGAGAGAGAGACAAGAATAAATCTAAAGAAATATTCCAATGTAAAGTCATTGAATGCATAATATCGTTGTTTCGATTTCCATAATGTATTAAAATGCCCTGTGTTATCGCGTGACATAACGTATTAATTAATTATTGCAATAAGTCATATGATCATGCACACGCAAAGTCACAGTATCATCACGATTAAATTCACCGAAAATGATGAATTAAAAGAACAAACTCTATAAAAAATGACTACGTAATATAGTTGTACCAATGGGATTCCCTTTCCCCTCCTCCGAATTTGATCTTTGACAGAACAAATACTGTTATATAATACTTAGTGCTTTGTTACGTATGTATTATTGCGTATTTAAAACTAAAAGTAATTAAACAATTCATATAAAGTTTATTTACAATATATAGTTGCATCACTTCAATTTTATGAAAGGTAATTAATTTTAAATCGTAATTATATGTATACTACGAGTTAAATCATCTTAAGAATGTTTTACAATTATTAATATATGAATACTTTTTACATGGAAAAACTGGTTTTGATAAAATATCGAAGAATTTAATAATAGCTGAAAACACCTAATAAAAGCGACTAGCTGAAATACTTAAATTAAAAATACATTTTACATTCTGTACGAATAATTTTCTTCTTCAAAAATAGAATAATAATTTTTAAGAATATACTCTCTCTTTCTTCGTTACTGTTGCCGTAGATATTGACAATAGTCATGGCTAAATTAAATAAGGAATACGATAACTCATTACAATATGATGTTAAACAGAAAAACGTATAAATTGGAAGATTCACTGCAACAATGGGTTAACCTATATTTTTATCGTATATTACGTAAATTAGTTAACTGCCACTGCTTTCCAATCACTTTTTAATTTTAGAGTTTATTTGTTTCTATTATATTTAAAGAGAGAGAGAGAGAGAGAGAGAGAGAGAGAGAGAGAGAGAGAAAGAGGGGGAAATACAATATTAGCACATTTGTTGCAATAAACCCTTCAACTTTAAATATATCAAAGAATTTGTACTAAACATTTGTAAACATATGTTTCCTATTATACATACCTATGTATGTATATTCTTAATTCTTTTAAATATACAAGTTGCACAAGAACTATAATAAAACATTCCGGAAATAAAGAGGAACAGGATAAATTTGCACATAGTTTATGTACATATAATACATATCTCATACAAAATAAATATAATACATTTTTATAAATAAAATATAATTAAACAATACTAAATAATAAATATACATTTAAAAAGATGGTGAAAACTTTAGCATGCAATTATATTTTAAAGAAGTTATTTATTTTTATACATAAAAAGAATGGTTTTACTGAGTTCTTTAAAATTTAGATAGATATATAATAGATATGAAAATATATAATTTTGTTCGACTTATTAAAATCATTATAATAGAAAATTTAAATATAATGAACAATATTACATAAAGTTTTAATGTTCTAACTTCTAGCAGATTGAGAATTCTACTAATTATATCGATAGTCTAATAAATTATTTTCAAATTCTATTATTAAATTCTTAGATATTTTATCAAAAAAACCAGTTTTTCCATATAAGAAGTATTCTCTTTTTATATATTAATAATTGCAAAACATTCTTAAGATTTATAATAACTCGTAGTATAATTACGATTTGAAATTAATTATCTTTTATAAAATTAAAGTGATGCAACTATTTTTTTAGACTTCAGCAAAAAACTGATTTAATATTATAATAATTTCATTTAAAAAACCAGTTTACTATTAATTTTTGCTACTTATTGTCAATTCTAAAAAAAAGCAAGATTAATTAAGGATGATATTTCTGTAATATTCCTTTAGCTGGTACAATGTATTATGGAAAAATATGATTATTAACAAGCAAACATCATTATTAGTGGATATTTTTCTAAATATTCTAAATAAAATTAATAATTTTTATTATAATATATAATGTTAAACATTATTATAAATTTATTGAATAATATGGCCATTAAAGTAACTTTTTATATTTTTAAAATTTATATTTATAAGTTATAAATAAAATAAAATTATAGAATTGTTAATAAATAAAATAATTTAATAGACGGAATAAACAGTGTCGTGTATTCATTTTTTTTTAATTTTTATTTAAACGAGGGAGAGAGAGAGAGAGAGAGAGACAGAGAGAAAATAGGTCATAATTATGAATATATATATTGAATATGTACAGAATAAAATATAATCTTTTTTACAAAACAATTAATGCAATGTATCATAATATTTATTATACGAAATTTTATGTTTTTCAATTTATTAAGTATATAATTTATTTATAAAAATTTATATATTTTATTTATATTATATATATTTATTTATTACCAAAACTATTCAATTTTATAAGAAAATGTACACGAGATAACTGCAATTTTCGTGAGAAATAACATGAAGGACATCCTTAAGTAGGTATATAATTAGCAATTACTGATGTATGCATGAATAAAAAAGATCTCGTGCTCATATTGATTTTCTTCTATAGTATAATTAAAAATACATTGGACGTGCAAGGCTAATAAAATAAAAGGTAGTAGATGTAAACAGTTCTCACTATTAATCATATCAATTTTATTATTATAATTTATTTCCATTAATTAAAGATAATTATTTTAACGACACAAGAATTATATTATACGATTTATTAAATTACAAAAATAATATCATACGATTTATTAAGGTTATGACACCCCACACTAATAAAACCGTAATAACCGTTAATAAAGAGTAATGATAGATCTTTAATCTGAAAGAAAAGAGTCATCGTAAATACGGTTTGCGAGATAAAAAGAACAATAGCAGATAAATATGCAGTAAAAAAAAAATTACTCACTTCCTGTATTTTTCTCGTCCTCTCTCTAAGGTATCAATCGGATCTTTAGCTATGTATAAGCGCAAACCAGGTATGATGATCTTAATATATGATTCCCATTCCAAGTTATTCATATCGAAATTGAAAATTTGACGATCAGCTGGAGGCACACGACCCCAAAGCTTTACAACGGCGTCATTACTAAATCGCCATTGTTGCGACGAAAAATACGATATTACAGAACTAAAACTGTTTATCTTCTTATATGCCTTTAATAACCTGAAAATTTACAACTATGTTTTAAATTCTGCAAGATTCACAATAATGCTTTATTATGCTTTTAGATTAATTCAGTAAATTCCTTACATAGGTTTTTGACCTGTGAAAAATAACATAGTATCGGCTATAACAGCAGGTATCATGTGCAGAAATATCACACAGATATCGTGCACAAATTTATACTTGTTTAGAAAAAACATATAGTACCAGAGAACATGTGTGCTCGGTACCTGCATTCCAAAAATCTCATTTAATTTCATAAATCTCCTCCAGGTAATGGGATTTTGGCATATCGACACGTAATTGTAAATCGGCACTCTCTCAGTTTCTAGATTCGCGTTCTCGATACTCAATAGAGTATTTCTAACAAAAATATGTATAATATATAACATTATAAAAAATAAACATATTAATATAATACATATAAAATATACAAAAAGTATATATTGTAGATCAGTAAATGATAAAGTATATCTCATATGCATTAGTCTTATTTTGTTATTTAGATTAATATTAATATAGAAGTTATAGAATATGAAGAAATAAACTTAGGATCTCCTTAAGTGCCTTTTATAACTATTTACTGATTATTATAAAGAGGGGACAATTTCGGTTCATTTTTACAAGTATTTTACAACAATCTCATTATTCTAAATTGTCTTTATTTCCAAATGAAAAATCAACGTGTCACTTGTGACACACTTCTCGTTTATGACATCATGATTCAATAAGGCTGAAATGAATACTCAGAGCCTTAACACGACATCAATAACGTCATTAATACAATGCTAATATATTTATTATTATATAATATAGTATCATAGTATTTTATACTATTAATAATATTGTATACTATTAATAGTGCCTAGTTAGTGTATTTGTAAATCTAGTCAGAGCATATATAAAAAGATTAAGTAAAGAATAAGAAAATAATGTAACTATTGTGATATACTCGGAGATCACAAGCCTCTGGATGTAAATTGTATAAATACGGTATTGGCTGTATTATTTTTGTTTTAAGAAAGACATAATTACATAATTTACTTATTTAATTAGATTTAAATTTTATATTTTCTTGTAGTGCAACCTCTTTTCTTGCATGCTTTTCTTATTAATTATTATATGCTATCCGTAAGTAACTATGTCATGTTTGTTTGATATTTGATTCTGTCGTTATAGATACTTATTTCGTAAGTTTCTTGCGGAGAGATCGTGACAGTGCATATCATTTATTCATAAAAAACTAAGAAATCAGATATTTATACTTCGTTTGAATGTAACACTCTTGATGTAACACTTGATTGATCGTAACACTCGTCTTAAGTTTATGCTAATGTCTGTGTTATATCGAAAACAATTATTATGATAGAAACTATATATCATAATAATTTACTAAATATTAAACAAAAGTTGATAATTATATAGATAATTTTGGTTTATGTAATTATCAATAGTAAATATATAAATAATTTTACTATTATTAAAGAAAAATTTAGTATAAATTAATTTGAAAGCAATACATCGCTTATTTATTTTGTTTACAAATAAATGTTTATCTTCTATTTATAAGAAACTGATTTTACAATATTATATCAATATAATTTTTTATTTTATAAAATTATTAAAAAATTTCTAAGTATTTAACTTCTTTATGAATAGTAATTAAAAGTATGGGTAAGAACTAAAAATTTAAATTTTATTACACTTTATGTGGTAACTTGTAGAATTTATATAATTACAAAAAAAACTAATTATGCAATAAAAATAGCAAACTTGTGAAAATTAATAGACCTATCATGCGTCTGCTATTTAATAATGTATACACAGTATGCAAAAGTAAATTTACTCTTTAAATATAACCTTTAATTAATATTTGCTCCAAATTTTCTTAATTGGTATTTTCTGGTCTATAATATTTTAAATTAATTTGTTCTTAAAGTTATTATTATATAATTGAATTCTTATAAATCGTTTAATTTGCAAAAATCCGAGAAATATGATTATGTAACTGAGAAACTATATGTATGTTGGAGGCAAACTTACCTTCTTTTGGCGGTATCCCAACCCGCAGCGATAAGATGCGAAATAACATAATCAGCAGGCACCATATCTGCCACGTTATCAGGATTACAATGCAAAGTACGTAATAAACCTATGGCACTACCCATGACTACGCCCACTGCTCCATACACGCTGTTGGTCCATCCACTCACTGGCTCCTCGACCGTTGATGTTACAATTGATGGTCGTACAATGCAAACTGGAATTCCTATACTGTATTGTCGAACAGTGTCCTCAGCGATCGCCTTTGTATATACATATGAATTCGGCCATTCACCTATTAATCTGTGATTAATAATTATGAATTATCAAATATAATAACTATATTACACAAGTATCTAACTGATTTCAAAAGATAATATAATCGTGTAAAAATATCCAAGGATGTCTTGAGACGTAAGAACATCTTTCGGATATTTTTAAGACGTCTCTCGTAGATCTATGTTAATGGGATGTTATGTATACGTCATAGCTTGAAGTTTACATGAACTATATTTACAAGAATCTCAAGCAATATAGTTATGTTCAAAGTTATACGTTTAATAAACGTTAAAAAATATGCAATAAACGTGTTAATTGAAAAAGTGAGTGTGAAAAATCTTGTACGTTTTTGGAACATTTAATAACCTTATAAATGTTTTTAAAACATCTATTAAACTTTTTTTACTAGTTTAAAGTACCGTTTTTATACAAGATCCTTCGAAGGTTTACTAAACGTATATTTAACTTGAACAACATCTATTTAACGTTTTTATACAACGTAAAGAACGTTTCGTAAACGTTTTTTTACACAAATTATCTACTTGAGTAATACGCATACACATATGATATACAAATGTATATTTAAAAATTTCAGAAAATTAAGATTTTAATTATAAAATTTTAAAATATTTTATTTTTTCAAACATTTTTAATAAAAAATTGTTTTCTTTTAAAAACATTGTTTACAATTTATATATTTATATAAAAAATCGGCTTTTGATATAAATAATTACTGAAAATATAATATATGTAACATAAACTATTAATTTTCAGAACTGGTAATGTATATGGCAGTACATGACTTGACTATTTTGAAACAAGTTTCTATTTATTTATTGAAGTTATGCTAGATGGTTTTTATTCAAGTACAGCAATAGAATTTTTACCATATCCTTTTTACCTGACCTTATTTTTCTAATTGATCTCTTTATTATTGACTGTGTGAGAAAAACGTGAAAGAAAAATTATGCTATAATTGCATACAATGCCGCGCATTATAATGTAATGCAATATGATGATGAAATTCATAGCTTAATGCTGAGTCAACTCTAACAAAAGTTTTAACATTTGATTTCCACTTTTGTAATTTTTAATATTACTAGCTTCTTCCTGCGCGCGCTATGCGCGCGCTTACTTTTTTTTTTTTGAACGACCACAATTTTCTCTTACGAAATTTTCAACTATAAAGCATAGTCGTTTTAACTTTAAATTTTAATTCACCCTTAATCCAAATTTCGCCGAAATCTGAAAACCTTTAAGATTTTCGCAATTTTTCCGTCCGGCATATTGGATAAGTCTTTTTTAATTATCATAATTTTTACCTTATTTTTGAAAGAGCGTCCCCGAAAACCCCTTGTTACCAAAATTCACCGTTATCGGATTACTTTAAGTGCCCCAACGAATAGAGGCTTCAAAAAAACGTCTACAAGCCTTTTTTAAGATATGATGATGAAAACGGTACTTACGTTGGTGTGAATTTGTCCAATTTGTCATCGTCCATAATATCGATTAAAGTCAAAATCTTATCAGTTTCCATAGGCGAAGGATAATATCTTTCTTCGATGAATTTAGTAATACAATAGGAAAATGCAGTAGATACGTGAACGAATGACTAAAATTAAAAATAAATTAAATTTTTGCAATTATGAAGCTGAAAACTTAAGTAAAACAATCTTTTTTTATATACCTTTAACTGTGGCATTTCTTTTGCGAAAAGAAGAAGCTGCTTTGTTCCTCTTACATTTATATTCACTGCAACTCGAATTGTTTCATTAAATCGTACAGTCGCTGCCGCGTGGAATATTACGTTTGTGTCTAGAAGTCTTTCTCGATTTTCCTTCGATAATCCGAGATCTAACTTGCTTATATCAGCTTGTATCATTATTACTTTAGAATTAAAATTGGGCTGCTCTTTCTTTAATCTGTCGTAAACCTATAAAAAAAAATTTGTTACATTTAATTATATGTATATTTTTATTGTATAATATTACTTATTATCATATCATATATCATGTCATGTCATATACTACTATATTATATATATTATCATCATACATTATATTATATATTTATTATTTATATTATATACTAACAACGTTATCAAAGTATTCTTTGAACCTTTGTTCGGGTGTTTTTTCTTTTTTTGCTCTCAGGAATATGTACAACTTTTCTATATCTGGACAGCATCTAGAGATGTTATTTAGTTTAATACATTTATATTAAATAAAAATGATTCACAACTGTTTATATGATCTACTAAAAATGGAACAGCGTAATTTAACATTTTAATTACTATTTAATATTACAAATCATTAAGTCAGATTACATGATTCAATAAATTACATTAATTAATAACAAATTATTTTATATGAAACAAGTAGTCTTTTATATTATAGATTTTGGATGATAAAAATGATGTCACAAATTTCATCAGCACAAGTTTCCGAAATAATTGAGTTGTGAAAAAAATTGCTTTTTTTTTAATATTTGGCATTTTCATAAAAAAAAAAATATTTAACAATACATTCATTACGTCTGATCAGAATTTCAAAATAGCAATAACTTTTCTAATAAAAAGTATCAAATATTGTAAAAAAAAAAGCAATTTTTAGAACAACTAAATTATTTCGACAACTAGACGTACTAGTAAAATTTGGATTGCATTATCTAAAAATTTATAAGAAATACCTTTAAAGTATAATTTAAAAAAATAATGATTCTTTGCAAAGAGTTATTACCGCAATAATTTTTCTATTAGAAGTTGGCCGAGAAAACCGGTACCACCCGTTATTAACACGTTGCATCTCGCAAAGAATTGGGGGATTTCGCTTTGACTATCGTTGTTAATATTTGGAAACTCCGACATGTCCAACATATCTTCGAGGTAGTCTTTACTTCTCCGTGTCATCTCACTAGTGTTTCTAGACGTAGAGCGAAAAATATTTTTCTATTTATCCAATTTCACTTGGAAAATCAACAAAGAAAAGTTCACAATCAATCACGATACTGAATTACCAACAAACCGGTAATTATTCAGCTTTCTATCAATTCAGGTTTTTATAACATGTAAGGAATGTTTTCCTTGGAATGCTTCTTCTAGAATGCAGCTCCTTGCCTAGATGTCGAAACACAGAAAAACTGATAGAAGTTGACGAGTTCTTTATAACATAAGACACGATAGGAGATCGTGGCAAACGCGACCATAACCGCGCTTCGACTGACATAAGGAAATACAAGAATATAAAGGTGAGTAAGGAACATGTAGAAGGGGGACATTCTATTAACGTTGAATATGAGTACCCAGTAAGAAAAAATCATTACTACGATATTAGTACAACGTTTATATAACATTGTTTTCAAATATATTGTACAATAGTTCTTTTTGTATACATCATTGTAAGAACAAACCTTTATCGTAATTTCGATAGGGACTTTGATAATATTGATCTACGAGAAATATCATACCAAATAATGTTATGATAATATCCAATCAAACCAACATCCCAGACACATTAAACTTCAATATTGCAAAATATTAAATGATATTGCAGAAACGTACAATATTTGTTGACATAATGTTGCAAACATTGCAATTCAACATTCAAGAATATCGATTTAACATTCAAAGAGCAAACTTTTAAAATGCATTTTATTCAAAATATCATATTTTCAATTAGAAATGGCATAGTGTTCAATAATAAAAGACACATAAACTACTTTGAAATGTTCAAAAATAATTTCTTAGCGTCAATTTATATACTGAAAAAATTTAAACATTTGATGTGCATTATATTCTTTAATCAGAGAAAAATAAAATGCATTAACATTGTTAGAAATTGTTTAATAATTTTGTTTAACTTAATTTTACATCTTACTGGTTAACAAATTGTTATTTTTGTATGATTTCCTTTTGTGACTTTCTTCCTTGTTTTTAGAAAATTATAAATTTTGAACAAAACGCATTTTGAAAGTCTGCTCCTCATCAATTTAATATTATATATATTTTTAATAATATATATTAGGTTTTTAAATTAATTTTTTTTGTACAAAACTATACACAAAATACTTATTTAAAATATATTTCATTTACTTGCATGTTGGCGCTCTTCAGTCACCTGAAATCTATTTATAGAAAACAAATGAAGAACCCCATAATCGTGTGACTTTTATTCTATTATATGTAATGTTTATTTGTGAAAAAATTATTACGTTATCTATAACCAGAGAATATTATGTACTGCTTCTAGGTAAGCAATTTTAATATTTATTTGTTTAATATTTTTTCAACATTATAGCAACATTAATAAAAAATCAATGTAGATTTAATTTTTAAAAGACCATACTTTAACATAAAAATTTATAAACATTATTAGGTAATATTATAATTACATTTATTAAATGTTACATAAAAACGTTGAAAAAATTAATATAAAATCAGTATTTCAAAATCTAATATTTCTTTCAAAAATTCTTAATAAAATTATATAAACTAGTTATGGACTCTTTATTGTTAAAAACAAATAAATAAAACATAAATTAAAGGCTATTAAGAGTCAAACGCAGTTAACAATGCGAAAAAAAAATTTTTTAATAATCTTACAAATTAACATTAAGATGCCCCATCGACGGGGCATCTTAATGTTAATTTGTAAGATTATTAAAAAATTTTTTTTTCGCATTGTTAACTGCGTTTGACTCTTAATAGCCTTTAATTTATGTTTTATTTATTTGTTTCTAATATTTCTTGTTTACTGGGTATATATATAGCTTAATATGGTATTGACAGTAGAAGGAGATGATTATTTAAGGAAAAGAAATCGAGAAAAATATGCTGACTGTCGCATTTAATGACTGCAATGACTAAATGAAGAAACTTCAGCTATTAATAACACATGTATATACCTATCTCAAAAAATTTCCTTTTTAAAAAAAACGAAAAGAAAGCGCCAAGTGTGCGTATTTGACTCACAAAAAAACGTTACATATATTATTACAATATATAAAAAATGAAATAAAATCTTTAAATTGTGCCAATTATGAAAGGAATATATTTTCTTGACACATATATAACATATACTTTATTTCAAAAACTAAAAGTATAAAAAACTTGGCGCTGCTAGACCTCAAAATATAATAATAAGTAAATGTTATATAAAAAAAATTAATGTAGTTTAATGTTTATTTTTAAATATTAACATAACTCACTCATGCATATCTAATTCTGTATTCTTAATTTTTTGTACATGTATTTATACTTATTCTTTACATAATCTTATACTATGCGTGTACTTGGCACGAGACACTGTATATACTGTATATTGTATATGTCTCTTGATAGTCGCTGCATTTTAATATTGCATTTTCTTTCTTAAATTTTTTCATTATTTTTCTTATTCGGTATTATTTAATGACCATCTTATTATTGTATATTTTGAGGTCTAGCAGTGCCAAGTTTTTTGTACTTTTACTTTTTGAAATAAAGTATATGTTATATATGTGGCAAGAAAATATATTCCTTTCGTAATTGGCGCAATTTAAAGATTTCGTTTCATTTTTTGTATAATAATATATGTAACGGTTTTTGTGAAACAAACACTTGGCTCCTTAATTTCCTTTTTTTTAAAGTAATTTTGTTGAGATATCATATATTTTATAAAATGTTAAATGTTTCTTATAAATCATATCCCTTATACATACATATTATATTATATGTATACATATACGTTATTTTTTTTAAAGATGTATTTTTGAGATAATTTTATGATGAAAATTTTAATACAAAAATGAGGCTATAATAGTTTTTAAATTAATTACAATTAAATTTCGCTAATCACAGAGTTCACATTTCGCGCGCTCAGGCATAACGATACAACAAGTGGTGAATATACCACGACAGCCTCCTTAACATGCAATATTTTTCAGAAAGTTTGAAAAAAAATTTGTACATTTTTAATTTTTAATTATATAGACGATATTTCCGAGCGCGATGATGATGACATATCTATGTGTCAAAATTTGACTTCAACATTTGGACTTCTCATCGCGACATCTTTCTTCGTAAGGTACATAGAAAGCAAAAGCATATTTATAATATAATTTAAATCCAAATAGTAAATTGAGATTACTTAAAAGTTGATAAATTCAGCCGTCTCTTGATAAGGATATATACATTTTATATTGAATCTTTTAACTGAGATATTTGTTCAATAAACTACATTAAGAAATACTTTATATTACATATGAGATGATTTCATTAGCGAGACAATATTTTAATTATTCTGATGTATAATGTACTTTTTTCGAATAATTAACATATCTAAAATAATTTAAAAATGCAGTAAATATAGTTACAAAAAGTCAACATTACATTGACAAATTATGAAAATTAAACTATCGATCAATTCTTTTATCCTACGGATCCCAATAAATACGGGTTTTAAGTTATTCTTGTTTAAATATAAACAAATTATTAAAAAATTATATGATGTAAATATTTCTGTAAGTTAAACAATTAAATTGTTGCAGACTGATTCAAGAAATCATTTTGTCAAATTTGTTGAATATTGTTCACTTTTACAAGAGTAAAAAACAAATAGAATTATATAAAATTAAGCTTACACATTTTTACAACTTTAAAAAAATGAAGATTATTATTAAATAAAATTTTTTTGTAAAAGAATTATGTTATTTTATTAATCAAATAGAATTTTGTATGTTATAAAAATACGTGTTTAATTTTAAAAAATTATTCATTACTCAATTGTTCAATTTCGTTGACATATTACCATTATTACCTTTTATCATTAATATATTATAATAAATTAAAGAAATAGATTAAAAATAGATGTAAAATATAATTATTTTTAATTTAGTGTGTAAAAAGTGACGCATTTAGAAACTATAATCATATATGTATAAAATATGTATAGATAAAGTATTATATGTACAGAGGATGAGTCATATAATTATATTTCAAAATTTTATCAGCGTATTTTTGAATAAAAGGATAGAATAAATATTCCTATAAACACATTACATTGCAAATTTCTTGTTATCGAAATATTTGACACAAATGGATATGTAATAATGAACCAGTCGTGTGTTGTGCTCAAGCATGCATGGAAAATGATAGAAAACAATTTAAGTAGGTTCTTATAAAAAAAGATATCCATTAAAAATTTATATATATATTTATTATTTAATACTGTTGTAGGTATTTGTATTATTCTCTGACAATGAAGTATTTGCGACTGATTCACAGAAATAGTTGTTTTTCCTTTTTCCAAGAATAGGCTTATGAAATTTTAAAACGTACCTATATGATTTATGATTTACCTCGTATGTATATGTAAATGATTCTCTAAAAGAATATAGCTTGTTAAAACTGGATTATAGAATAATACTTATGACAAGATAAAGATTTGTATTACCTTATAAAGTTTGTGTTTGAAATAATGTATAAAAATTAAAGTTTAAAATATCAAATGTTTTGATAAAAATTAGAATATATTACATTTTCTCAGAATTATTATAAAAGAAAATATTTGCATCTACAGAAAACAAGTCAATTCACACGTATTCAATAATATGTTAATATAATACTTTATTAGATGTGAATAAAGAATTTGATTAGTTTTTTTATTATCAGAATTAATTAATACTAGTTTTGATTATTTCTTTTATAAATTTATAAAGCACTGCACCGTGACGTAAAGTTAAAGTCGTATTCGCCAGAAATAACAAGCTGACATTATTTAAAGCTGTGTCCTTAAATACGTATATAATTGATTCACTTGCGAAACGCGATAAACTCGTCGAACGTTTCTTGACATTATTATTACCGACGGCTAACGACATTCAAATTTTCAATTCAACTAGCATATCATGCAACAGATAAGTATTTTTGTATAAAAATAATTTGATCTATACGGTTACATACCTATTCGACAACCTTGCTATGGTTTTTGCGAAAACTGTTCCTGGGAATTTATGTTTGTACTGAAATTAAAATGATCACGCTTCAATAACTGCAAATCTGGCCAGTCAGGTAATTGTGTACGACTGGTAGTCGTATTACTGATAGTGAAATTTAATGCAAGTTAGCTGTGCACATTTGTATAGATAAGCAAAAAAATCCGGTTGGCAACGTTTAAAGAATCTTGGATAAATACTTGATATACATACATAATCAAGTT